TACCCGGACAGACGAACACACACACACACGAACATACACACACACACATACATACATACATACATATACACACAGGGTCGTCCCAATATGCGTTTTTGCAATTTGCATATAGGCAAAAACGCATAAAAACGGCGCTAAACGAAAATTTTTTATTTTCTTTTATGCAAAATTTACGATGATTTAGGGTTCTGAGAGAACAAGCTAGGTGTAAAGAAACAACAACTCATGCAGTTAACCTAATTATTTCAGGTCTGGTGCAAAAACGTATGATCGCACCGGCTCGCCTGGTGCGTTCCGGCCTGGGTTTTGAAAGAAGTTCGGTATTTTTTAGGCATTTGCATGCTCAAAAAGTATACCTCCAAATACTTGAGGTTAGGAGATTCAATTCCCCGACTTTTCACAGCACAGTCCTTCTCCAGTTCAGTTTTCCTCAGTCTCAGTCCGCCCAGCGCTGATTTTGCTTCATCAATTTGCCTCAGACAGTCCGCTTTGTGATGAATTTCAGCGTGATTTTGCAAACGTAAGCATTGTCGTTGTTCCCACTCTAGCCTCTGTTCACAGGCCACATAGTGCCTGCAGTAATCATTCTGAAAAATTGTCAGTTACAAATAATCTGCTATCGAGAAAGCGTAAATAAGAATCCTTGTAAACGTCATTTAAGTCATCCCTCCGTAAAAGAAACATTTTTACAGGAGAAGTGGTGGACTAGAGTTATTATTAAAAGTTCTATTTGACGAAACACTATTTTCAAAATCACTGGTATTTTTTAAAATTTTGATTATGTCACCGAATGCAACGTAAAACAGTAGCAATACGATTTCTTCGACTACAGTTTTTCGGCAGTGTGTTTTCTGAAGCCATTTCTTGGATTTTTGTAGATTATGTTCAAAAATTATGAAAAGCAAAAATATCTGAGGTTAGGGGAGAAACCTCAAAATAAAGTGAAATTAATTGGCCAAGAAATAAAGTAAATCCCTCATGCCGACGTTAAATTGGCGAATTTTACTCCTGAATCCCGAGAATTAGACCCTTATAGGCAATGTAATTATATGTTTGAAGCGGCACGTGAAATGCTAGAAATTCTATAACCACTTTTTGACTCAGTCGTTTTTGAGGGCAGACCCTGAGCCTAACTAGCCTATGGTCAGATGTCTTTATTTTTCGGTGCTTTGCTTTAATCTATGCAAATGGTATGGTGTGGCACCAATGGATTTCGATGGATTGCGGCCTGGCGCGAGCCGGCAGACAGACTCAATTAAACTCTCGACTAGACTGGGAGTATTGATGACAGCTATTTTTCGCGATTTCCTGTGTAATTTCGACATCGGGACCACCATACGGATCGCTAACTGGGTCTCAACTAGGACTTCATACTAACTATTACTAACCGACACTACTACTGTTATCCGTTGTGAACCCGATTTTAAATGTAAAGACAATAGAAGCTGCGGAAATCAAAGCGGTGCGGTGCTAGTTATAAATTTCTGGTTTTTGCATGAGTTCCCAAAGAAGTACAAGTCTTAGAAATTCCGAAAGACGATGGAAATCGGCAAGCGATAGCGGCCCAATAAAGCTGAAAATATCATCGGAAATCGTACTTGAAACAGTCTTTACCCAACTGCTTCTAATAAATTTAATTTCGTCTGGAAGTGCTGTTAGAGGTATTGAAAACCAGTCTAATGAATATTGCTTTTCTGGTATTTTCAGGAGAGTCTGGCCAGTTGCCCTCATCGGAGCTTATACAAAGCTGTCCACAGAGCTGCGCACATTATCAGTGTCCAGTGTGGCAATATGGGCACTAAAATAACAGAAAAAAGACAATAGATCTCATCATATTCCAGGTTTTAGATCATGGAGTTAAGTGCCTCCGGAGGTACCCCCTAAAATCAGCTTCAAATTTTTCTGAGATATAAAGCTTACCCCGTTGCGTAATTTGGCGACGCATAAAATGGCCAAAATTAGAGCGCGCATGAACCATTCGGAGGCACCAGCGGGCATAATACCTGGAGCACAGTAATATTTATGTTTCTTGTCGCGAATCGCGTTTGCATGAAGTAGAAAGGGCAGTGCCGGGCCGTAACGGCCCGTACTGCTCTTCCTACTTTATGCAAACGCGATTCGCAACAAAAAACACCACATTTTTATGAAAATACATTTGCCGATAGGTAAATAAATGAATAAACTTTTTACAGCCAGCACCTTGCTCCAAAAAGCTATAATTACCACCTGAGACTTGCAATGAATCTTGCCTTCGACAGTCCTTAGGGAGATTAACGTAGTGGTAGTCGGTGTCTGCTCAAGAATTCAAGGCCATCAGTTCAATCACGTAAGTGGTT